CGTATGAATTTCTCAAATTTGAAATTTAAATTTTGTAAACGACCACGGATGGAGAAACTACCAAAATAAAAGTTGTAGATCTCGAAAAGTTATAAAACTTTGTAGTTGACAATTTTTTCATTTGAATTTATTTAGGGTCCTAAATACTTATTTCAAAATCAGATAAATATAAAATGGCTAGGACGAAAATATCATTTGGACACAAACAGCTTGCAGGTGGAGTGGTTAGGGGCCGAAGGCGCGAAGGAGAAGGTTAGGGCTTCGAGCGCCGGTTGCCACGAAGCGCGCGTTTTTCGCGTAAAAAATCACGTGACTTGTGACTTGCGACCGTGTAGCTAACCGATGGAACCTCTCCCGATATTAAAAAAAATTCCTATTTTTAGGTGCATTTTTTGGCTTTTCACATCACTGCCGGTTTCATATCAGTGTCGGTTTATAAGAACCGACAGTGATGTCAACCCCCAATCACTGCCGGTATGCCACTGTCGGTTCAAAATCCAGTAGTGAAGTGGGGTTTTAAACCGACAGTGATATCAAGATCTGGGGTAGTGATGCTAAATACTGAAAAGGAGATAAGCTTGTGTTGCGGTAGATATTCATTGTGATAGTCTCTATGGTATGAACCTTAGTTCACATGGGGGACAGGGAGAATAACCGGAGGATAACCGGTGCCAAGAGTAAGGCCGGACAAAGTTGACGTGAAGGGAGAATAGAACATTTGAAGGTAATTGGATTGTTTGTTTTCATTGCTTGCCCTAGATGAGGACTAGTACAAGGTTTATATACGCACTTGGCCTGCTAAAACAAACTCCTTAAATCCCTTAATTCTTGCCCTCTTTAATCCTATTAACTCCTGCCTTGATGATGATCCCTGGAATGGTGCTGTGCTGCTGGCGCCATTCATGGAATATTGCTGCTGCTGGCGCCATCTAGGGAGTAATGGCGGCCCCACATGACACTCTAGGTCGTGCATGGTCCATTTCTAAATGTTTGCCACTCATTATTCTCAAAAGGGTGATAGGCTTTCAAGTAGTTTTGCAAGCGATCCTGTCAACTTAAACATAAGATATTTCTCTGGCTCGTGTTAAAAGGCAGCTAAACACTAGGGACCTCTTGAGGAGAACAAATATGGAGCTTCCAAGCTACAGCTATATTTCTTGTTCGGATGCTTGTGAAGAAACGGTGGAACACCTTTTTCTTGGGTGCTCATTTGCAAAAGAATGTTGGAATACCTTTTAAAGAATCTAGACCCGTACTTAGGTTTTGGTAATTAATGACACCATGACCATTAGGGTTAATGCGCTGTTTCACAGATTAGGTGGTGGGCTTCTCACTACTATATATTGTCCCCTTAGAGCATCTGCAAGAGTACTCTATTTCCTTCCCCAATACTTGATTTTTAGCAAGATGAAAAAAATCCCTCTCTAACAACTCCTAATTCATAATCCAAAAATTTAAGCACTTGGGAAATCCTTCCCCGTCGCGCGTAACTTTGCGCGTAGTCCCGGTCGCGCGGGTACTGTTTTTCCGTACGTATCGGTCGGTCAATCTAAAGGTGGAAAGGTGTGAGAAAGAATAAGGAGTTGGAAAGGGTTCCTGATGCAAATGTAGGAGAGAGAAGGAATATATAAATGTGGTTAGAATAATTTAGGAATAGTATAGGATTCCTGATGTAAATTGTATTCTATATTTTAGAAGTGGATTATTGAAAACTCTTGGAGATGTCTTTCTTTTTTCCTCCTAATACCTTTTTAGGAGTTACAAAACTATATGTTTTTGGGAGAAAAAAATAGGATACTCTTGGAGATGCTCTTATATTGAATTTCATGGTGATGGTACAAGGGATATGTGTAAAGATTAAGGACAATCTAGTTCTAAGTGTTAGTTGACTTTGAGAGATATTTAGCGGAGCTACAAGCCTACATACTTTGCCTTTCTTCTTTGGTCGTATATTAAGGGGGTCTTTGGTTGAAGAGTGGTATAGCTTGATCTAGTTTAGAGACTTTTCCCTCTGTGCCATTATAAAAGATCGTAATCCCCTGTGTGCCTCTGGAAAAATTCAGCGGTCTTCAGCGCCACTACTCCAACTTTTTCGGGTCCTCCATGCCACTTCCGTCAGTTCAGGCTCTAACGCCGTCAAACTGCAGGTGTGAAAAGACGAAAATGCCCTTAAGTTCAAATATGTTATTAATTTTTTTTTGAGCATCTTAACGACTTCAAATGAAAAACTCAAAACTAGAAAGTTGTAGATCTCATCGAGATCTATAATTTTCATATAAAAATTATTTTCATTTAATTCCGCAAAAAAAATATAATTTGATATGATTAATATATCTTAGAAAAATCATCATATTTTTTTGCGGAATTAAATGAAAATAATTTTTATATGAAAATTATAGATCTCGACGAGATCTACAACTTTCTAGTTTTGAGTTTTTTCATTTGAAGTCGTTAAGATGCTCAAAAAAATTAATAACCTATTTGAACTTAAGGGCATTTTCGTCTTTTCACACCTGTAGTTTGACGGCGTTAGAGCCTGAACTGACGGAAGTGGCATGGAGGACCCGAAAAAGTTGAAGTAGTGGCGCTGAAGACCGCTGAATTTTTCCAGGGGCACAGAGGGGATTACGATCTTTTATAATGGCACACAGGGAAAAGTCTCTCTAGTTTAAGCTTAGAGCGTAGGTATTGTGCACACTTGTGAAATTTAGCGCTACTTAGGTCAAATGAAGCCCTTGGATGCAAAGATTCAAAGCTGAGACTTGGAAGAATTTGATCTGGACATCACAAACTTAAATTTTGTACATTGGATGCCTCCAGCAGACTAACTGACAGGAGAACGATATTTTGGTTCACCAATACGAAGGGACCACCACTGGATGCTATCACTAGAGAGATGAACTTGGTCTATGTTGATAACTTGAGTTAGTGAGGATGAACTCATCGACATTGAAGTGGTCATTGGATTATATATATCACTAGAAAAAAAATGTATGCTCTCTGTCTGAGTTGGGTCTACAGTGTTGAGGTCACTGGACACTCTAGTGGTCACCAGCTGTTAATCACCACACAAAGAAAGGTTGCTCTCTCTCTCTCTCTCTCTCTCTCTCTCTCTCTCTCTTCGAGTTAGTTCTGAGGTTCAATGGACATCAAAAGAGGAGAAAGGGGTGACGGGTGGGCTCCATGCATCGACAAGTAAAGGGAGGGAGGTGGCGCAGTGGCAATGGCATTTTGGCCCATACGAAACTACAGTGGTTCACATATGGTCTCAAGTAGCCGTGGGTGTAAAAATAACATATTTCATGTTCTAGATGAATTATAACGACACAACTCTATTAAAGAGGAAATAGTGTCACACCTTAGAAATGTAGAATTTATAATGATATGGCTCTAATTAATTCTAGAAAAAAACTGACCGCTAACCATCAGACATGCTGTAGAGACGACGTGACTTGGAGCGAGTGAATCCAGCACTACCAAGGATGAAGACGAGGGACATGCTGTAGAGACGACATGACTTGGAGCGGGTGAATCCAGCACTGCCAAGGACGAAGACGAGGGACATGCTGAAGAGACGACGTGACTTGGAGCGGGTGAATCCAGCACTGCCAAGGACGAAGATGAGGGCGGGCGAAGAGGACACAACTAGGGGCAAGGGCGAGGCTACACAACCGGTTGCGGTGAGGAGAAGGGCGAGGGCATAGCCGCTCAGCTACGCATGAGGCTGTCGAGGGTGTATAGAGGCCATTATGTGTTGTTCTTGCGTGGTGAAAAGAAAGACAGGAAAAGTGAAGATTAAGGAGTGAATTTGACTAGCTTATGACACCGGCAATAAAGGTGACTTAATATATCTATTATGATATTATTACCTTTTTCTATCACTCCAACTAAACAATAAAATAGAATCGTTTCATCCCTTCAACAAAACACATAGAATCATCCCATCCTAAAAATAGAGATGGATTGATCTCATCCTACCTAGCTCACCAACCAAACAAACCTTGAGAATGTGATTGGTTGTTGGCTGGACTCAGGCTTGGCTAAGCTCCTGAGCTAGGCTGGTGGGAGCAAGCCTTGCACAACGCAAACCATTGTGTTTGTATTGCATGGTTGGATTGAGCCAGCTTGTGAGCTTTGTATCATGTTTGGTTAGCTGGGCAAGGGGCAAGTGGCAGCCATGGATTGCTCCAACGTGCTGTTGCCTACACCCAAACACCTACATGTCAACAGGCTTTAATTTTTATTTCCTAGCCAAGTTTGGTCAATCTTTTTTACACTGTCAGATAGGCTCAGCACATCAACCATGTAACCAATCAGTGCATCCTACACATTAGGTTGTATGGATGAGTTTAGATTGAAGTCTGCGAATTATTGTGTAGCCAAACAAACAATTCTGACCTAGATATCTAAAATATGCTTGGAAGCTAACCTATGGCAGTTTTTTTTATTAAAAAATATCACTCAAAGAAAAGTTTTTTTAAAAAGAATATACCCGTGCAAATTTAAAGCCTCAAACCAACAAGTCACAAGTCACACCTTTATGAGGCTGTCCGCATCGGTCGATGACAAACCGGTTCCACAGCCAAATTCCACTCGGGTCCACGTGCCACCTGGCACCAACACAGCCGTTCCAACTTCCTTCCAAATTCCAACTGACGTCTTGTTTAGTTCCACCCAAATTTCAAAAAGTTGTTACAGTACCTGTCACATCGAATGTTTACGGTATGTGCATGGAACATTAAATGTAGACGAAAAGAAAAACTAATTGCACAGTTTGGTGAGAAATTACGAGACGAACGTTTTGAGCCTAATTAATCCATATTTGAACACTATTTGTCAAATAAAAACGAAGATACTACAATAACCCAAAATCCAAATTTCGCGAACTAAACAAGGGCTGAGTTCTTCAGCCCAGTCCACCAACGGCCAACACTGAGGACAAAGCGAGAAAAAAAAGAGGAAAAGGGACTGGAGAGCAAAAATCTAGCACAGCCGCATCCATGGCGATGTCCATCTCCGGCGGCTGCGTCGGCGGCGACTCCTGCACGGTCCTGGCGCCGTCCGCGTCCTCGCTCCGCCCGCCGCTCCGTCGTGCCGCTGGCCCCAAGGTCTGGACTCTTGCTCCCCGTCCCCTAAACCCTAGCATTTAATTAGTTTAATCCTGCCTGTTAGAGGTGGAATCTGCACGAGTGTGCGGCTTTCGATTGGCTGGGGAGGCCCAAATCTCTGCCGGGAGATGCTCCGGCAGGCTGCTGGAAGTCCGCGGTGCGGTTGTTACTGGTTGGGGTTTGTGCGTGCCTCTGATGGGTGAGTGAAGCTGCCTCGTGTCAGTCTGATGAATGTGCGAAGTGCATTTTTGTGTTCATTGGTGGGCTAACGTGTTAAGTGCCTGTTTGGAACCTGGAAATCCAGAGGCTAAAGTTTAGTCCGTGTCACATCGGACATTTGGATGCTAATTAGGAGGACTAAACGTGAGCTAATTATAAAATTAATTGCATAGGAGTAGACTAATTCACGAGACGAATCTATTAAGCCTAATTAATCCATGATTAGCACACGTTTACTGTAGCGCCACTTTGTCAAATCATGGACTAATTAGGCTTAAACAATTCGTCTCGCAAATTAGCCTCCATCTGTGTAATTTGTTTTTTAATTAGTCTATATTTAATACTCCTAATTAGCATCTAAACATTCGATGTGACGGGACTAAAGTTTGATAAATCATGTGGATTGCGTCGGGAAGCATGTGTGTTCTGCAGTGGAGCTGAGTAAACCCTAGCAGAGGGGAGAAGCCCTTTTTTGTAATAGAATGGTGAAGCCTCCTAAATGTGGCTTCTCCAGCTTCTTGTCTTCTTAGGTCAAGTCGTTTGCAAAGAAACCCCATCAAACAGGGCCTAAGGATTAGCTATACTTTTAGATCTGCATTTTCCCTAGATTTGGCATTTTATTATTTTGCTTGCCCCAACATTAAAGGGCATACCCAGTGCAGAGAGCTCTCTTGGGACAAAATGTTTTGCTGTTTTTGTATCCCTTTGTTGTTTCCACTCGTATTCTAGCTTGTAGTGATGTACATTCTTGGATTCTAAATATCTGGGTACATAATGTAAGCATTAGGATATAGAAAACAGGTGTCATGTACCCATTTGTTGAGAACTTGAGTTTACCTCAAATTTACTCTTCTTGAATTACTGATTGTTTCTTTGTGCATATTGTCCTACCATGAATAAGTGCCCTGTATTTGATTTTATGGTGAAAGGATTTTCTCTTCATATTTTTATGTGTTGGCCTATATGTACAGCTTTTGTATCCCATTTGATGGTGCTCTGCCCGAACTCAAAGTCAGCCACTTTGTCTCCTCTCTTATTGGTCTTCTCCATTGCAATCAGTTTATTTGCTGTGTATGCTAATTGCTAATGTATTTGGAAAATTAGAGTTTACTCCAACAAAGTACCTGTAATTTTAAATTGGCAGTGGTTTGATTCCTCTATTTCACATGGGTTACCTAAGCTTGTGAAGTCTGTGTGTTTGTTAGTAGTGTTAGCAGTATCAGCCTTGCTTAGCAATACCAGACTGTCTGATCTCCATGTCTAGGTTTGCTTGGTATCTGGCATTTTTCTGGGTTGTTCTTTTTTTCCTTTGCTTTTTACCATCTCCATCTCCTACAGTATGGTGTTTTCTTTTCATACCTTGCAAATATTAGTATTACTGACACTACCCAAACCGGCTGATTCTTTCTTTTCTTTCATTGACATGTGTTTCATTGTACAGTAGTACCTGGTAGAGATCTAGAGGGTATGAGTTTGATCGGAGAGGTAGTTAGAAATGAGGAAAGTCTGTATTTACAATGTTGTGTATCATGTTTGTTTCAATTTCTTTGATATAAACCTCAAGCTAAGCATCATTTGTTTTCAGTGCTGAAATGAGAAATTGCAGCATGAGAGTAGGCTGGCCTTGTCATTAAGAATTAAGAGAACATCTGAGGCTATCTTTGTGCATATATGATGCGTTCACTCGATCAAGTGTGGTTTGTTTCCACCCTGTAGTTATGCTATCATTGCTCTATTAGGTTAGGTCTTTGTGTTCATTTTTCAGATATGCATATTTCTTCACTGTATCATTGTTACAAAAGGCCTGAATGTATGCTTACTTATGCAATGAACTGTTGTGTGTATTTAAACAACTTAAGCTAGTGTACTGTTGTGTTACTCATTGAACTGTCACTGTATACAGCTTTGATGTTATCATGTAAATGCTTGCAAGTTTATGGTGAGTTTAGGATTGGCAGTTGGATCTTACTGAAATTGCACTAGCTTTTGTACCATGATGTGCTCTTAGCATGTTAGTAATGAATATACTGGGATTCTTACCATTTTAGTTATGTCATGCTGCAGGGTCATTTTTGTACTTTTCCTCATGGAGCATCTAGCAATCACATGCTTACAAACAACCAGCTATGCGTTGAGCATCAAAGATGTCCGCAGAGCTCCACCCAGACCTATGCTCTTTCTAGGAAGGATTTTTCTCCTATAACTCAAGATGTGGAAGGCTTCCTTCACAATGTTGTTAACATGGGATTTCTTGACCGTCTGAAATTAGCATGGAAGATAATGTTTCCTGCACCAACCATAAAGGAGAGCTCCAATGCGAACATCGCAAAACAGAGGCTTAAGATGATCCTGTTCTCCGATAGGTGTGAAGTCAGTGATGAAGCAAAGAAAAAGATTGTGGAGCACGTCATTGAGGCATTGTCTGAGTTTGTTGAGATAGAATCAAGGGATAACGTCCAAGTGGATATCTTGACTGATGCTGGCCTTGGCACTGTGTACTCTGTGACAGTTCCCGTGCGCCGTGTGAAGCCACAGTACCAGGAATCTGAAGAGCAGTACAGAGGGAAAATCGTCGGCGTCGACTTCAAGGACACCGGAGAATCATCAGGGAACGTTGATGTCACCTTTGACTTCTTTGTACCCAACGAGAACTACTAATTCCTTGTGCTTCTGTCAGAGTGTGGTCTGAAATGTTTCATTTGTTCGTTGCGTTTGTGAACCCTCTAGGTAGAAAGCTAGAATGTTTTGTTCTCTAGAGTGATGTAAATATGTAGGATCCCTGTTCGCTCCACATTTCCTGTAATTTGGTTCTGGAATTTTGTCGGACACCTGCAGTGGCAGGTTCTTTGCAAAACTAAAATTATGTTTTCGTTGTTGAGAAAATAACGTCCAGTAGCTGTCTTCACCAACTGTATATGCCATTTTCAGGGCTGCTGTTTGTCCTATTTGTTTAGGTTCCATAATCCATGCTCTACCTGATCCTGGCATTACTTGATATCCAATTATTGGGGAATACAATGCTATTGAAATTCCTAGTAATAAAGGATGGCATATTGGCATGAGCTTTGGGATACACAGGTCAGGTGCTACTGCCGCAAAGCTAAAGATGTAGGGCTGCTCATCTTCCAGGCCCCATTAGTTTCGCTGAAAAAACAAGTCGAAACACTGTTTCGGCTGATTTGTTGTGAGAGAAAAACACTGTTCTGGCTGAAAAAATAAGCTGAAAAAAACGGATTATAAGAGAAGCGAACAGGGCAGACTGTTGAGTGGAATTATCAAATATCGTTAGCATATCACTTGATCAGACAAGACTTCAAATTGAGCATTCAAATTCCACCTACTTACAGGCAAAAAGAACAGCTATCTGAAGAAACATGCATTTGATGAATCCTCGCTGATACATTTCAAAACAGTTTACAAGACTTCGATTCTAGAATTTTGCCTCGCTGATACATTTCAAAACAATTTACAAGACTTCGATTCTGGAAATTTTGATGTGGACCTATGGTGGCAGGTTCTTTGAAGACTATTCTTGTTTCCATTCATTAGGAAATAGAACATACAATTTTCGGGGCTGCTGTTTTCCAAAACCGTCCAGGACTCCAGGTTCCGTACTGAACTGTTGAAATGCTGTGGAATGCATGAGTTTCTGAACGCTCAGGTAGAGTACTAGGGCAAAGCGAAGTTCTCCTTACGCGTTCAAGCAGCTGGGTGACAATAGCTCAGCAAAATTATCAAAAATCGTTTACAGAGCACTTGATAAGACATGACTGATTTGGGCATTCGAATTCCAGCTAATTACTATCTGAAAAATGCATATTCGAATGACAACGATATGAGAGAAAAAAAAAACACAATGGTTTTTCACAGATCATTACTGTTACATCTGAAAATAATGTAAAGCTCAGGACCTTCAGATGTTCAGTCTTCCTGCCAGAAGCTTGGCAGGCACTATCCAGCCTAGTTTGACTTAGAGACTACTTCTGCTTACTTGTTGAACATGGTATATAGCACGAAAATACAGAGGATGATTACAAGGAGACTGCAACCTCACAGTTTGGCGCAAATAGACTGTGGCCTGTTAGACAAACCACACATGCACCAGCCCTTTACTGTTGCCGGTATAGATTTCGTTCCTCTCCTCGTTGTACAACAGCGCCGTGACATCCTCCATCGCTTCTGAAACGGTGCTCTGGACCAAGGACCGCTTGCTGTCACTGTTACTGTTTCCGCGAGGGACGACGCTGAGGTTGTTGGCAGACAACTTAGCAATGCACTTGCCCGTCATGATCTCTCTCGCGTTGATGGATCCAAATGGAGTAACTGCAGATGACACTTGTGTCAGGATAATAATCTCCCACATGTTTCAACAAATTAAACCCAAAGGAGAAATTCTATTGTATGCTCCAAAATCATGATTAATTGAATGATGCAAATAATTTTTCAAGGAAATGATCATGGTTTGTGTACTTCACCTGTACCATCCTCAGCCACTGCCTCTGATTTGCAGTATGAGATAATAAGATCCTGGTCACTAGTGATGTAAACATCGTTGGTGCTACAATTATGATGCCAAAGCAAATGGTCTTCAAATGAAGTCACAAGCTCTCCCCGCAAGTTCCATACAGCGACCGTTCTGTTTAGGAATGTCAAGAAGAGATTGTTCTCATATAGGAAAATGAAAGCTGAAGGGGTCATAAACTTGGTGGCACTAACTTCAATTAGCTCAGAACTCCACACCTTCATCACAACACAGAGATCATAAAAGCATTAAGCTCGAGGGAAGTAAAAGGGCTACTCTAGGGGGAATAAAATATCACTCATGGGCCATACATCAATTATCTGAATGTTCTCGCCCTCTTGCTTGACAAGGCGCTTCTCATTGAACTGCTCAATAAAACTAATTTTCTTGTTGGGGTGCAACCAGAGCTTAACAGATTTCAGTGGCTTCCCATCTTCAATTGATAATATCTTCAATGGAACATGACTCATGGCTCTATCATATATCAAGAGAATGGTTCCTTTACTGAAATAAGAAAATAACAAGTCATCCTTTGGCCCCTTAAAATACAGTAAGATAGATAAATCCGAGGGAAAGAATGCAAACCTCATCTTTATATCCTGGATGTTTTCATCCGGTATTGAGTATAGAAAGGAATAGTTCTTCAAGTCAAAGACCTTATAGATACTGCAGATAAAAGGACGACTGGTAGATCGAAAAATATTGTTGTGAAAAATACCATTTAGTGCAACAAACTGTTTAAGGCATACCCATCAGTTGCTGAACATGTGAGTACTTTGCCATTTACATCATCGAACTCCACATTTCCAGGCCACTTAAGGCTTTCTGATTCAAATAGAGGAAGAAATGAGCCCGTGGACATTGGTAAGTTGCATTGCATGGTTCAAGAACAAATCAATTCAATAGGCGCTTGAATATTTCATATATAGGACTGAGAAGAAAAACAGTATATTACACAAAAAACATAACATTCAGTGGGTGCTTCTTGAACAATCACATAGAGCGTCAGTGCGTCACACTGAAATTTTAATAGAAATATATGTGGAGCATATGTGCTTACTCAATCGGTGTTGTTCGACACTTCAATGTGCTGTAACTGTCATATGCATAAACTGACACAGTAATGAGCGAATCGTTGCTCTTGTTGTAGAAAAGGCTCCGGAGCACTTCATCTGGGCTTATGTTCAAGAAGGCTATGCGCTTGCTTGTTACTGCAGGCAGAAAACAAAACACAAACGCAGAGGACAGGTGACAACCATGTTAGAGGACAGATGACAACCGTAATATTTTTATCAGATTGTATCATGGACAAAGCCTCATCTTGATTAAGCAATGGTAAATATAATATCCTTTGCTGCAACAATCTCAACAATTTTGGATCTCTTTTTAAGGTAAGAGGTCAGTGTTGTCATCATACATATCAAGCTCATCCTGTACCAAACGGAGAAATATAATGTTAGTGCTAAATAAATACTCCAAATGGTTCGTGGCTAAAGGAAACAACTAATTAATCTGCCTTTTTTTATTCAGCTCAGAAGAACACGTACGACCTCAGTAGTTGATTCTTCCTAAATTCGTACATGAGGAAAGGATGTTGTACATTGCATGAGAACAAAACCTCTAGGAGATAATCCAAATCCAATAGATACATCAGCAACACGATACGCATTTTGACTTTGTACTGAGCGCACAATTGAGCAAAATGCAAACGAGAACCAGGGCCCAGCATTGACAGCTGCAAGTCTCTCTGTCGAACGACTCAATAATCCTAAAGGCCCAATTTGTAATTGTAAGCTAGAATAAAATTCAGTTCCGTTTCCAAGATCGACGATGGACTAGGTAGCTAGCCATACTTGCCAAAAACCAAGAACTGAATTACTGAAAGGCTGAAACAACAGCATCGATCAGCGGAGGCGGGGCAGGTCGTCCGTTTACCTGGAGCTGCATGTTGCGGAACCTCTCAGCCATCGCCGGCGGCCGCGAGGAAGCAGTTGTGATGGATGTGCAAGGAAGATGGCCCTGCCGGCTGCCGCCCTATATATCTGAGTTTGTTGAGATCGAACCCGTGACAGTTGCCACCGGGATGTGTTCGGGCCTCAGGGTTGGTTTTTTTTAATATATAACGAAAATTCACGCTAAAAACTAGTAATAAAAAACCTAACCAGAACTGTTACCTAAAACATGTTTATATATTTTAGAGATCCAAACAATCACGAAGACTACTGATGCAAATGCAGTGGAGGCAAAGCCAGAAACCCGCTTTGGATAAATGGGCTTATAAATGGGGGTTGGAAAAAAAAATCTTCTTCGATAGCTCCTGAAAGAAACCCAAATAAAATACACCCTCATTATATGTCTAATAACACAAGGCCAGAGGCTCAAACAAACTGAAGCTTCGAACCCAAAGACAACTTGCATCTACCAGAGTGCACTTCTGCAATGCTTTAGGCAGCGCTAGGACCTTCTCTGGAAAAGGATCCCAGATCGCTCCACATTTTCATCAAGTTTTTTGCTTTAGAGCTGGCATCAATCTGTAGTGCCAGCTTCTTTGAATAAGCAAATTATGTTTTTTTTGTTTATGAGGAAATAGCATCAAGTTGCTGTCTAGCGTCCGCCATTTTCCAGGCATGTGGTGTGCTTTCGTGAGGCCACAGCAGCGCCCTGTTCATTTGAGCTTACCAGCCATAATTAGCACTATTTTTCAAGTCATAGATCAGTATTTTTCTCTCACAACAAATTAGCATAACAGCATAAACCATCAGCCGAACAGCATACACATGTCCATATTCGCAGCTGTTTGCTGTTTCTGTTTATATATCCATATACTAAGATTACTTGATGCTAGTATTATTCCTGGGAGCCAGAATGTGGTGGATTTCAGTCAGGTATAGTTAATGTGGATCATTCAAGGCTTCAAATACAATTATTCAGCAGCTTACAGACAAAGAACCACAACTAACTGAAATTGCAAGTTCTGACAACAATGCCCTCAACAGAACACAAGCATTTCGCAAATCCCAACTGTTACACATGAAAATAACAATAACATGAAGGTCAGGGCTCCAGATCTTCACTATCTTGCTGCCAGAAACTAGGCAGGATGTATCCAGCAAAGTAAGATTTTGGGGCTAATTTCTATGTTCCATGAACAAGGTCGATGAACAAAAGATATTTACAAGAACACTTTGCATTCACAATTGCTCAAGGAAACACATTCTATTGCCAGATACAAAAGCTAGGTGGAGCCCCGAGCCGGGGATTATACAGAATGCAGTCAAGCTAACCAAGTCAAATCAAAAGGGCGAAATGTATGCACATGTCACTATCTAGTTAGACCATACATGCACCAGTCCATGACTGTTGCCGGTGTAGATCTCGTTCCTGTCCTCGTCATAAAACAGTGCCGTGACGTCCTCCAGAGCTTCTGGAACGGTGCTCCAGAGCTTGTTGCGACCATTTCTGCGAGGGGCCGCACTTAGGGCAGGATCATTGGCAGTAATCTTGGCAATACACTTGCCAGTCATAATCTCGCTCATGTTGATGGATCCAACTGGAATAGCTGCACACGACACCAGTGTCAAGATTATTCCCTGCTGATAGTACAAATCAAAGGAAGATTTCTATAATCCAGTTCACATTTATGATCTGGTCATATTCATGATCTTGTAATGGTGCCTGACATCTATCAGCCTATATTCAATGTTGCAATCATCCAGCATGTTGACATCTGCGGCTAGTTGAAGAGGCCAGTATATAAAAAAGAAAAATCCCACGTGGGAAATCTAAATAAATAGTGCAAACTAAATACTGAGGAAATGGTCAGAGTTTGAGTACTGCACCTGTACCATCCTCAGCCACTGCTTCGGATTTGCAGTATGAGATAATAAGATCCTGATCGCTAGTGATGTAAATATTGTTGGTGCTACAATCATGATGCCAAAGCAAATGGTCTTCAAATGAAGTAACAAGCTCTCCTCGGAAGTTCCATACAGCAACTGTTCTGTTTCGGAATGTCAAGAAGAGATTGTTCTCATACAGAAAAATGAATGCTGAAGGGGTCATAAACTTGGAGACACTGACTTCAATTAGCTCAGAACTCCGCACCTTCAAAACACAGACCATAAAATCATTAGGCCTTCAAACAGTAAGGATTACAGTAAGAAAAATAAAATTATGTCCATAAACTACACCATACATCAAGTATCTGGAAGTTTTCATCCTCTTGCTTGACAAGGAGCTTCTCATTGAACTGCTCAATGAAATCAATTTTCTTGTTGCGGTGCAACAAGTGCTTAAAGAATTTCAGTGGCTTTCCATCTTCAATTGATAATATCTTCAATGGAACATAACTTGGTGTTCTATCATATATCAAGAGCATGATTCCTGGACTGAAATTAAAAATAATAACAGGTCAAAATTTGGACACCCTCCCCTTTACCTCTTTCTAAATTACAGGAAGACAGATATAAGCAAGGAAAAGAGCACAAACCTGATCTTTATCTCCTGCACGTTTTCATCTGGTATTGAATATAGGAAGGAGTAGTTCTTCAAGTCAAAGACCTTATATATACTGCAAATAAAAGGATGAGCATTACAACAATATTATTCTGATGAACACCATTTAGTGGATGAACCATTAGAATGCATACCCATCCTGCGCTGAATATGTGAGTACTTTTCCATTCACATCATCAAACTCAACAAATCCAGGCCATTTCAGAGACTCTGATTCAAAGAGGGGAAACCCAGCATCTAACTGATTCCTTCTAATATACCTGTAAGAACATTTAAATAAAAAATTATATATTAGTTGATGCCAAGAATTTTAGCGTTAAAAAGATTAATTACACTAAAAGGATACTTATTCATAGGGTGTTTCATGAAAAATTGCATCACAGAGAAATATAAGAGAAATTTCTGGAGCATGCTTTCTTACTCAATCGGGGTTGTTCTGCACTTCAATGTGCTGAAATTGTCAGATGCATAAACTGAAACAGTAATAAGGGAATCATTGTTCTTGTTGTAGAACAAGCTCCGAATCACTTCATCTGGGCTCAAATTCAAGAAGGCTATGCGCTTGTTCGTTACTAAAGACAAAAAGTACAAAGACAGGTCAGAAGACAGCATTTTTTTACTCCCTCCATGCACAAAAGAATGCAAATACGGGATTTGTGCAAGTCAAACTAACTTAACTTTGACCAAGTTTATAGTAATAGTATTAATATTTATGTCTACAACAAGGTTTATTACGAAAATATATTTCATAATCAATTTAATGGTACTTATTTTGTATCATAGATGTTAGTACTTTGTTCAAACTTTATATCGTTTGACTCCTCGAAAAGAGAATTGCATTTGGTGGACAGTGGGAGTATCAGATTGTGTAACACATAAATCTCATTTTGAGAACACCTACCTCGGTTAAAAGCAGCACAAAGTCCAGAATTAGCAAGGGCAAATATGATATCCTTTGCTGCAACAATCTCAATAATTTTGGATCTTCTTTTAAGAAACTGCAGCTTCACAAATAGGTGAGCATTGTCATCATATGTATCAAACTCCTCCTGCACAAACAATGGATTATGATGTCAATGCTAGATCTAATGAAATAGTTCATGGCAAAAGGAACAACTAATCCAACTTTTAACTAACTCAACACATGTCTGGGTTCAATAAATTCCACACACTGATAATAGTGCCACTGTTCCTAAATGCTGCACCCCACCAACATTTTTCACCCAAAAATCCAGTACAAACACAGTCAATTGAACTCTTCTAACAAGCCCACAATTGAACAAAGATATAAACATAAACCAGGAGTCAGCATTGAGGCACCTCAACCATCTGAAATCAGAAATGCCACTGTTTTCCCTTGGATTTGTGTGACAAGGATCACATGAATCATACCAATTATAAAACAGTACCAAGGAATAGGAAAGATATATACAGGGAGTGGAGGATAACTAGCTCAACCAATTTATATACAACAAATTTACAGCCCATAGTATCTACAGAGTAGTTTTAAAGATCCAGTCCAAACCACTATACCAAGCCTCCAATTCAAATTAAGGGAGCATTAGGAAATATCAGACCCCAAGATCCAATCCTATTCGATTTGAATATCTACAATCTCCATAACAACTTGATCCAAACCCCTGAGAATTCAGGAAAGGCGTTTACAGAACATCAAACATGGCAAAAAAAAAATACAGACAATATATCATAGGTACGCAACACAAAATGGTAAGATGTACACACCTGAAAGGTTCAATGCAGGTCATTTCACATTCGCCATTTTACAAGCATTAGTTTAAATTACAGACACCAAAACCAAACAGCCTAAGAGCCCAATCCAAAAGCCCCAATTCTGAACAACGACGACAGCTATTCGATTCCAGCAGCTTACCGCCCCAAGCCCAGCAATGCTGCACACACAAGAAGAAAGAGCCTTGAAACTGAAAGGCATCGCATTTGCCTGAAAGACGGGCCCTTTCGCAAGAAAACAAACAACTGGGGGAATCCACAAAACGAAATGTTTCTCCTCTCCGGAACAAAATTTGCCGCCTAGCACAAACGGGACACGTAAGAAAGAACATTTCCCAGCCACAACCACCCGTCATTCCCGCCAATTTGACCCCACGCGCCACCGACACCGGCGCATAACCCTAGCTTGACCGCCGCCCTCACCGGACACACCAACACCCCCAACCCGGAGGGACAGCGAGCGCACGGACGCCCGCGGCGCCGCTACGTACCTGGAGTTGCATGTTGCGGAAGCGCTCGGGCACGGCGGCGGCGGGGCCTCCGCCGCGCGCGGCGAGCTGGCGGCCCCCGATCTCGCGGCGCTGCAGCTTGGCGGCGGAGTTGAGGACGGGGGCCTCCATCCGGCGCTTCCGCCCGCCGGGCCCGGCCGCGCCCCCGGCGCCGTCGCCGTTGGCGCCACGCCGGCGCGCCGTGACGCGGAGGCG